AGATCGGACCAGGGGTTCGGAAGTTATGGAGGTGTAAAGTTTTGACCGACCGCACAGGCAACAGTAGCTGAAAACAGTCCCATGAGTTTTGGCCTTGCGGTCGGTCTCTTTTTGTGTCTAAGAAGTCCCGAACTCAATGCCATCCAGAGCTGTGTTTGCATTCGGATTAATCCCCTTGTTCGTGGGATTCAAACTACCGAACAGCAGGCCGTTCTGGAGTTTCTATCAGTCTCTTCCATAGCTCTGGAGGTCTCAGCGGTGTTTGCTTAGTCGAGTGTCTGATTTTAGTTCTAGACACTCGACGGCAAAACACCGCTGTTCAGGAGTTTAAGATGGCCGCCGCCACGTGTTCGGCTCCCGAAATGGTGGCCACCCAGGGACTTTAACAACCAGTTCATGCTTTTCAATGGGAAATTCAATGAAGCGAACAGGGAGGTAAATTACAGCCACCCTTGACATCAGGTTGGCCTGGTTATTCGGTAGTTTTAAGCGTATAATAAACGGAGTGAAACTACCGAATAATCAGGTGAATGGTGCATATAATGGAAATACAGAGAGTAAGAATTACACGAAAGCATGTTAGAACACATACGTTTTGTGGACAGCCCAATGCCATCCGCTACACACAAGGGGTTACACAGCCGTTTAGAGGATATTCCCTTCCAGATACACAGGCAGCTACTGCAAGCACCAATCTCCCGAACAGGAAACACACAAATTCTCCATCTCCCAAACTGGAAACACACGAATTCTCCAACTCCAGAACTGGAACCATACGAATGCTGTAAACAGCCGAACAGGAAAAACCATACGAATAGCTTACACTCCTGGCAGTAGAACTGGAACAGCATACAATCCAATCCCCCCAAGAACGAGACATGGCTCCGTGTTGAGGGTCAAGCAGTGATCTGTATCATCTGGGCTACCTGCCCAGTATTTATGCAGGTTTCCCACCAGGTGGACACTCCCCTAGGAGACCTGGTGGGACACTGGGACACAAACTGGACAGTAACCAATCAGGACGGTTTAACCTTAACCACTCCCACATGCACATTGTAATCCCTCCTCTCTATCCTGGAGATAATTGGGAAGTAATCCAATCAGGGCCAGATTAACATAGGGGCTGATGGAGCTGCAGCTCCAGGCCCAGGCCCATGGAATAGGCCCATTGATTTGAAAAAAATAATTTATTTCTTTCTTTCTTTTTTTTTAAAACACACTACTCTTAGGCTTGTTCACCTGGCTGGTATTTATTTGAGGTTACCTGGTCGGTGCCGATATTGCAGTAATACTGGCAATACAAATGAAGTTATTTTTCTCAGTATAAACAGAGATTACTCTGCAATACCATTACCGGCCAGTAGGGATCGCTGTGTGTGGGGTGGGGGACATGGGGACACAGACACACATGGGGACACTGAGATACTTGAGGACACTGGGAGACATGGGGACACAGACACTAGGGACATAATGTCCCCTACTGTCTCAGTGTCCCCATGTCTCCCAGCTGGTGTCTCAGTGTCCCCATGTCTCCCAGTGTCCCTGGTGTCTCAGTGTCCCCATGTCTCCCAGTGTACCCATGTCTCCCAGTGTCCCTAGTGTCTGTGTGCCCATGTCTCCCAGTGTCCCCATGTCTCTCAGTGTCCCCGGGAGACATGGGGACACTGGGAGACATGGGGCACTGAGACACTGATACATAATCTCAGTGTCCCCAAGTGTCTCAGTGTCCCCAGATCTCACAGTGTACCCTAGTAAAATGGGGACACAGACACTAGGGGACACCCGGTGACAGGGAGACACTGGGAGCAATCCATCTATACAGCAGAATCCAACTAAGTAGGTTTTTGGTGATTTTACAGAATTTTCTCTATCACTCCTTCCTTGTGATTTACATCATGTGATGTCACACATAAATAATTAGTTATGCAAATTAGTACGGCCTGTATTTTTTTCCAAGAAAGGTGGCAACCCTAACTACTCTTCACATACTCTTGCTTTGGAAACTTAAGAGGGATATATGGAAACAAAACTTGTGTGGACTGGCTGACAATGAAATTAGTTTAGGTAATGCTGACTTTGGTCTCTCTAACACTGTGGCATGTTTCCTTTCTTCTACACTCACTACATCCACCTTTTCTCTGTCTCGGACTGTATACCAGGAGCTTCTGCCTGCTAGTAAGAAGGTAAGGAGACAAGTGGACATGTGAGTGCTAGGGGACAGTCCTTAGCAAGCATGGAGCAAGCGCATCATTAGACGCATTTATGCCAAGCTCAGGGTGCTGTTGGCCAGCATGCATTCATGCCAGACTAGCCTTCCAATTATTTGGGCAGGCATGCCTCCTTTTTGGGCATGTTTGGCCATTTCGGAAGTTCTGGTTACATGATTTGCG